ACATCTTGATCATTTAACTTACACTTTTTATTTCCCATTTATGTGTCAAACTTCTTCACACTGCTTGCACATGTTCTATTTTTGGGTTGTAGGAAAATGGAGAAGTTTATGATTAAAGCTCTGGACAAAGGCTGTGCAGACTGAAGTTGTTATTAGTGAACTACTGACTGCCACTAACTCTTGACATAACCATGGCTGAGTCATTCCATGTCTTTCTGCCTTAGGTCCTCGTCTATAGACAACACCCTCTTTCTTCTTCTCCTTTTGCTTGTTGTCTGGGCATTCAGTGTGGCAAGAGCTGGTGTCAGGGATGTTCCTAATCTGTGCATTCAGTGTGTTGATTTTATCTGAGGCTTCTTGGTATAGCCTAATAAACAGTGAATAAAAAAAGATTCAAGGGAGTGCAATAACAAGTAAAGTGGTGACCCTACCTGTTTATTTGCTTTTTGGGAAGCTCCTGGCCTGACACAGGAGCCACCAGTAAAACAGGCCCTGTCATCTGAGTATGCTCACACCTTTTTTCTCCCTGTGACTGACATTTACATCTTCTTATCTTTCCCTGCTAGGGTGGAGCAATCAAAAACATTCCTTCATGTTAAGGCAGGATGTATTTGAAAGTGCTGACTGGCCTAGGCTAGCTCTGGCTTCTGGGCCTATCTTTGCTCCTTTGAGACCACCTGCTAATCTGAAATATGTCACCTTCAAGCAGGAAGATCAAGTTTAACAGCCTTGGAGCCACTGGCAGACAGAAGGAAGAATCCTTCAGGGCAGTTTGAGCACTAGGTCCACTTCCTGGTATCTAGCACATGAGGCTGAGCTAACTATAAATATGCAACCACCCACCACACTGCTGTCCCAGTAGGGACTGGGGGGTAGAAAGCATCATTTTGGGGATTTCACACGGCAAGAGAATATAGAGCACAAAAAATAGCTGTGTTCACAGCTCCATCCACCATCTCCCTTCCTTTACACTGTCTTCTCTCTTTTTCAAAAGCAACACAGCACGAAAGGGGAAAAAGGTGCATGCTGAGGCTGCAGTAAGCTCTTGGTGTCTCCTACCTTTCCCCTCTTCCTTCCTCTTGCTGTACATACTCCTCCTTTCATCTTGCTTAGGTTGGAGTGGTGGATCACGAACAGACTGTTACTAGAAGAAGGAGCTTGCCATTCAGATGCTTATAGACCCATCTCCCAGATTACTGACATCCCTTGCTTCTGCAGAATAGGGTATGGAAATTTTCACCGAGAGATTTTTGGAGACATCTTCCTATCAGGTGTATTGCAAAAGATGGCTCCCTCTAAAGGAGGGAAGATCTCCCAGTCAACTTCCCCAACATTTAAGGCAAGGAGGAAGGTGAAAACAAACAATTTCTAAAATTATCTGAACATTTTTTTGAAGTAACTTAAATTGTTTTCAGGCTCAGACTGGCATGGGGGATGAATGGAGGTTGTGCTGGGTGCCTGTTGCATTCAAATAAATTGCTCCTTTCCCCAGAGCCCCATCTCCTCTGCGCAGCCAAATCATGTATGTTTGCAGGAGACAGTATGCTTGTGTTTCTCCCACAACCCTGCTGGCTCATTAGTGTTATTTCTGGAGGTCTTGTTTCCACAGTAACAAGCAATTACCATTGTTCCTTGGACTGCCAAAGTTACCACCAGCAACGCAGAGGAAGATGCGTTATTCTCTATATTGGGATAAAATGCCTTCATATGTCTTGCTATTCACTGAATGCCAATCCTGACGCAGGTCCTGTGCAAATAGCACACTCCACCCCCCACCAGTGCTGCTTTTGCTGGTATTAAGACATGCCAAATTCTGAAAAGATCCAAAATGATCTCCTCTGGTCTGTGGCTACACTGGTAACGACAGGGTGAGGATTTCAGCAGCAGGATGACTGTACCAATGGTAGCTCTGGTAGGAATATAAATAGAAGAGCTTGGAGGCAGTTCTTTTTGCAATTGTGCTTAGCCCTGTTCTAAGTAATGCTGGCTAGTGACGTCAATGAAATATACTGTCTGTATTCACCCTATAGCTCCTACTAGTACAGTGGTGAAGCTCCCACATAGGAGTCTGGTGGTGTTGTGCTGTCAAGATGCTGTGTCTGTACTGCACAGTCCTTCATCATCCCCAAGGGGTAATATGTGTGCATCACCTCCAACCATTTCTTCCGCCAGTGGCTTCTCTTTTCGTGTTTACATTGCACACAGACTGATTCAATGGTCTTTGAACCCCATAGAACATACCCCGAATTTCATGCACATCATAAAAAGAGTGGGCAGCTGGGAAGCTGAAGGAATATGGGCTGTTGTAGGTGAGAGCAGAGAGATACTGGAATGCTGAGGCAGCTGGATCATGTTCATGGCTTCCTGAGTTTTTATGGCTTTCAGTGACTCCAGTTTCCAAGTGTGACTGCATATTCTAAAAAGCTCTGGGGCCCTGTTGTGAGCTCCTCTTAAAAGAGTTTTCTTGTGAATGGGTATATGTATAGATCTACATATATACACCCACTTGCCCAAATGACTAATAGCAGGTGTTAGAGGGAGAACACAGCCTCTAGCTTCCATAAACCAAAGCACAAGGAACCTTGCTCCAAGGAAGCTGAAGCAGAGAGATCAAGAGAAACATTTTAAAAGTGATGAACTGCCTTTTGTGAAAGGTCTTGGAAACCCCTGCACTAGAGATTTTTAAAAGCTGGACTTACAAGACAAGGTAGAAGACATTTTCGTGTCAGGTTGCTTTATGACTGTACAAGGGTGACAACAAACAAAGGGTGCTGCTTTGACAGCTACCAAGATTGTACTGCTTTAGATACCCTTAAGCAAATAAAAATCCAACAGCAAACACGATGTCTTTTCATAGGATGGAGAAAGGGATAGGCAGGAACAATTGTTGATAAGGTCCTTCATTCTTTGTTTTGATTGAAGTCCCACCAAGTCTGCAAAAGTTGTCTAGGAAGTGGTAAAAAAAAGGATCACAAGGATTGAGTTACTCATGATGCAGAATAGCCATCACCTTGATGTGAAATTAAGGTGGAGAAGTCAAACACAAGTGGAAGGAAAGTGCCTGTCTATTACATATCCAATCCAAAGGCTGTACTTAATTTTAAAGTATCTCTTAATTTGTAGAATTGAAGTGTTAGAAAGTCACTCAGTTTTCTTGTGGGCTTACCATGAAGGCAAGTCAGCACCAGAGAAAGGTTAAGAAAATACCCTTGGGTATGTGAGAGTGGTCCAACCTAATTCAACAAACTTCTCCTCCTTTCTGTTGCATTCACCTAAAGCCTTGGATTTTAGCACTGTCTGTATAATGGGGAAATAAAAAAATAAAAATAATCTTATTTTCCACATGTAAACCAGAAGCTGGTTAGTCCTAGGTCATAGCTTGGGTGGTTCATAATGAGCGGAGGCTTGGTTTTGTATTTTAAGGAAAATATTCCCACCTCAAAAATAAGTCAAATCTTTGCTCTTGATGTGGGCTCCAGGGCAGCCCTGGCGCCCCAGCCTTGCAGCGGGGTGTTGTGCTGAGCTGGCCAGCAGACACTAGGTGGAAGCCTTGGGCTGCAGTTCCACTGCAGCTGCTGATGGCAGGAAGAAGAGGACTTGTGCTTTCAGAAAGGAGAGCTTTTTCTTTCCTCCTTGCCTTCACGAACTAGAAGGGGAAGTCCAAGCTCTTCTGATGCACCATGGGGTGAGCAGAGGAATGAAGCAGAAGTGTCAGTCCCATCCCGGGTCCTCCCTGCAACAGGATCTTGTGAGCAGGGCTGTGGTGGGAGCCTTGAAATCCTCTGTGTTCTTGGGTGTGGTTGGGTGGCAAGATTGATTTCATTTATCCTGATTTATTTTATCCTCATTTATATATTCTGATGGGATAATTTTGAGATCCCTGTGAGTGCATAAAAAAGAATTAATATTGGGATGAAAGTGAGTACTGATTAGCTGCTTTATCTTGCAACAAATGCTGGTAGAACCAGCTACGATAAAGTGCATGCTGAATTTATGATGATTGCTTTCAACAAGGCCTCCAATCTGAAAAGTATTCCAAATAGGGAGATTTAGAGTTAGTACAAAGAATGACTCACTGGTTAAGTGAGAGCCAGATGAAACTTGAAATGTTCATTTGAGAGAAATGTCAAAGTTCATGATTTCAAGACATCTTGTTACTTTTGGTGATAAAAATACTGTTTTCAGTGAATTCCTAGAAACTAAAAATTATGAACATTTAAATTAGATACTTTTAGAAAAATGGCTGGTATTTTACTTTGAAAATTAGTAAAGTTTTGGTATTGTTTCACATATCAGTTGAAATGCAGAGTTAGGTTATACCAAATCAAGTCTCATATGAAGCCACATTATGCAATCTTACCAGTAACATAGCACACCATGAATATAATAATTAAATATTGTTATATAATTTAGTACAGGTGATGTTTTATATTCAAAACGAGTGATTTTTCTACTAAGTAATGAGTTTTCTATCAAAAGCAATAGCAGCTTTATTAGTCTGTGCTGAATGAAACAATTTAAATTCTTGCACTCTGAAATAGAAATGTTCTGGGTACTAGTTAGGGACCAATTGTTTTTAATATCCTGGAAGCCTGATTCTAGGATAATGGCAGGATATTGAACACATCAATTTCTCTCATTATTAACAGAAGAATGTAAAACAATACAAGCAGAAAAATACGTTAAAAAAAAAAAGGTTGCTTTCAAAAGTACTATTTTAATTTGAAAGAAAACCTGTCATTTTTTTCCTTAAGCAAACTTTTCAATATTGAAATTTTTGTTTCAGCCTCCTTTCACATAGGGATTTTTCATTTGTACTTAGAATTTTCTGAAAAATGTTGATTTTATCAAAATGGTATTTTCTGGTTGAAGACTGTTTCAATTAAAATTTTCTCGCTAGTGTGAGCTGTTATGACACACTCCTCCTCCACCCTCTGAGCTGTGGTGTAAGGGTGAGGGAAGTTTTTGATTTATCTTTCCTTATTTTGTTTTTTTTTTAGTGCAATGACTTCGAGAGCTTCATGGCTGTTCTGCAGACAGATGCACAATTGTGAAACATCAATATGGACTGCAAATCTCTACTGTCAGTCAGCTCCTCTTCCCCTCTGCATAACGTAATCCCTATCTCCACAATGCCTGCACAGATACACATTTGCAAAGATGTTTTTCTGGAGATAGCGTGCATAGCAAACACTCCCTTACTTGTTCTCATCTCTAGCAACATTATACGGAGTTTCAGTTCACAGTTCCCTGTGTTCCCCCTCCTACCACTGAAATGCAGCCAACTCTGAGCTGCGGCTATTAAACATCACACAAGCAACACCACAAAACAGATTGTGGAAAGCACAGGAATTCAAAGAAAAGCAACAAATTGAGTGAGGTCTGGGAAGCGATAATAAAGGATCATAAGGAAATGAATTACTCATAATGCAGAATAGCCATCACCTCGATGTCCAGGTTTTACCAGGATGCAAGGGCAAGTTTTTGAGGGTGGCACAAAGAGGTGTCACTAGGAGCAGTCAGGTTTCAGCCAGGGAGATAAGCAGGTCAGCTTCCTTAACCACTGAGTTTTGTCAGTCTGTTTCAGAGTCCAAATGAAAGGGCTGACGGCATCATTGCTTGGGGGTTTTAAAGCTAGACAATTTCAAGACAGGTCAAGGCACTTTCAGGACAGCTGAATAAAACAAGATGGAGCACGTACTGTATCCATTCCCACTTTGTATGAGTCTGAGAAAACAGTTGGGAGAAAGATGGAAAGGTCTGAAGGAACCACAGTACAAAGTTAGAAAACAGTGTGAATTGGTGTGATAATAGCTGTGACATGGCCGGGGAAAAGCTTCCAAAGACGGTGCTCTTCTTTGACAAGAAGATCATCTTCATGATGACCTTAAGGTGAGAAAGGAGGGAAAAGGGGAAGATTGGCAATGAGTCAGAGGAAAGATAAATGTGTCTGAAGGTATGTAGCCGTTTATGTGTGTGTGTGTTGCACAACAGAAATCTCATTCAGGTCAGAAAAAGCATTTTAAGTGTCTGCATCTCAGTTTGCTTACACTAGTGGGTAGAAGAGGGCACTTTGGCACAAAACCTGTACATGAATTCTTGCTGCTTTAGGTAAAATGATGAGTGGGGAAGGTTGCCAGACACTGTCACTGAGCATTCAATGGACAACTAAGAAGCAACTGGAAAAGTCTGTTCCCAACTCAAGTTGCATAGCAACACTAAATCGTCAGATTGCTGTTATGTCAGTCCCTTACATTATCCCCATTATTACAGCCAGTTTTAGGAACCACGCAGTATGATGTTACTAGCCCACTTCACAGCTGGATGTGTGACCTTTGTCTCTTGTTGAATGATGCCATGTAACTTACTACAAAGGGGTCTCAAAGTAGTACACCAGAGAGAAAAATCTTTGAGGATCCATCAACACAGACCATAAGGAGCAAAGGATGTACCTGTGCAGCATGGGGCAGGAGAGAGATCAGGACACATCAATATCCTTAAAGAAGTCTAGTGTCTGCCAAACGTGTCAGGATGTGTAATCCCATCACTTCTCTGAACTGAGTCTTCACTGATCCAGTTGAAAGCCTGTATTAAGGGGTGAGCCACAGCTGCTCATGTGTTTTGAATGCTTCCAGTGCATGCTTGTGCTTGGTGTTTGGACCTCTCCTGTGGCCAATTGCTGCTGTGCAATTCTAACTTCTAAATTCTAAACAGCTGTTTGCTGCTTTTCAGTATAAGCACCTTGTGAGCTGTTTCCTGGTAGAGATGCTGAAGTAGTAAAGTAGTCACAACATCATCATCCTGTGATGTTTCAGACACTGCCAGTCTGAAAAAATACCTAGAAGTCTGTTTCTGTTGCAGGATGTTTCTAGTAACCTGCATAGTATCTTTCCTGGATGTCTTGTGTAGCACAGCATCCTCCTCCCTTTTTCATTCTATTGCTCCTTCTTTTGCTGGCATAAGATCCTGAAATGCCCCTGCCATCTCTTTGCAGCCAAGGCAACCAGGGTCACTGGGTACCAAGGTATGGCTGGAGTTTTAAAGATGCAAATAAAGTAAATGAACTTCTTTACTGCAAATATCAGAGTGACATGGATTTAGGATACCAGGTGGAATGAAAATTACCTTATAAGCCTTATGCACTGGATGATGGGGAGAGTGACTTGATAAGCAAGTAATTCTTAGTGATAGATCTCCTTTCTGAAGAGTGCCTGGTTGTAAACTATGCCAGCTTTTTCAAGATCACCGCTGCAAATTATGAACCAGCAAACAGACCTCAGAAGGACAAGATAGATTGCCTGCTCCCTCTGTATATAGTAATGGAATTATTCTGCTTCATTAAAACAACTGATGAGAAAAAAGAGCCTCAAGATTCAGTTCCTCTGTTTTTGTGCCCAGGATATAAAGCACAACACCTGGACTGGGACCTACAAGTCACCCTTGCTTAAAATCAAGGAAACTGAGCTGAGACAAAGTCTAATACAGCAGACGATAAACATTCATGTATGACATTGCTAAAAGACATCTGATAGGTGTGGAGTTACCCTTAACAAAGGAGCATCTCTTTAATGCAAAATAGCTTAGGAGTTCTTGTGAAAATGGAACAACTGTTTGTCTGATTTTCACCTTTCTTCCCTTTAGTACTCCCCTGAACTGCTGGATGGGACGCTCCAAAAAGCTTATTTCCCTCTCCAGGAGAGTGTATTTTTGATGTATCTTGCTTCCCTGTGAGGATGAGGGATTTGAGATCATTAGTGAGACAGCAGGTGTTGGAGTAGTCACTGGAACCCCCCAGCTTTGTAGCTCAGTCATCTGGAGGTCCACTCTAAGGAGGGATTTATCCAAGGGCCCTGCAGAGCAAGTAAGACTTGTAGCTGCTCTGTATGTGTCTGTTGACAGTCCTGGCAGTTCAGTGGAGGAGTCAGTAATGAGTTTTAGGCTGTGTCAGCCGGACTGAAGGGTTTTGTGTAACCCTGCTCTCACAGACTATCTGGAAGTACAGATATGAGAGACGGTTCAATGGAACCAGTTCATGTTTGATAATTAATATGGCTTTTCCTTTTAAACTTAGGCCTTGTAGTTTATGGTGGATAGGTCCCCATTAATGAGTGGAGGATATTTTTGTCTGACTTTACACTATGGACAGACCTCTGCATGATTTCTCTACATGTATCTTTATCAGTTTCAGTCTGTATGTGTTACCAAGTACCATCTTTGCAGTGCCTCAGCTTTATTTGACAATCTGAGTTTCCTATGACCTTTGAGGATAACATTTTCAGATTAAAATGTGCTGAATAAGGACAAATGAGAAATGCAAAAAAAGTGAAAATACTCAGGTTTTAAAGAAAATCATCTTTTGTCAGCATTGTTTGCATATGTGCTCATTTCTTATAAACATTCAAAGACTCGAGTTTCCTGTTGCTAGTATATGTGGGAAATAAATGTCAAGACTGCACATGAGTACTTTCCATAAATTAATATTAAATGTGCAGGCACATTTCATCTCAAAGTGCTTGTACACTCCTCTTGTCAGAAAGCAGAATAAATGATGATCAGAATCACCACCTAGGGCTGGTCATTTCCATCTGTAGTTATGAAAATGCTCTACAAGGAAGGTCAGGATCATAGCCTCCAATTTTGCAAATGGAACACAGTTCCTCGGTAAAGCCACTTGTCTGGCAGTCAAAGAGCCTCCACCTCTCTACCGAACCTGCAGAGGCAAGTGCAGATGCACATTTGATTATTTTCACTTCTGTCCTTGACTACCCCTTTTAAAAGCAGTCACTCACCCTTTCATGTATTGTTCACGATGTGAGGTTATCCATCACCACCCAGCAGAGGCTGCTGTCCATCCTGTGAGTGCATGTGTGCTTATTGGTATGCATTCTCTCTCTGTCTTCCAAGGAGGAACTGAAGGCCTTGTAAGCATTCCTTGCTGCTTTCCTTCAGGTCACCTCTGCTTCTGCCTTCAGTGCCCCTCACTGCAGAGGATCTCCTCCTCTGCATCTCTTCTGGGCTGGCCAGAGGCCGCCTTCAGCAAATGTCCTGGCAGAAGAGTCCTGACTGTGTTTTTGAGTATTCTGTACCTTTCCTTCTGTCCTTGTCTTGTTCTCACAGGCCTCTCATTTCCCAGGGCTGTCAGACAAGGATTTGTAGTCCTGAGTCCTCTCTGCTTTCTTGTGTGTGTCTTCATCCTGACAGTCCCCCAGACTGTGCAGAGGTACAGGAGGGTTATAGGGTGAATGTGTTGTTTCGTGCCAGAGAAGATATTGATAATGTGTTTTACAAGGTTCCCTGGGAGTATGAGCTTGGTAGTGGTTTCAAGAAATAAAATTTATTCAGAAGGGACTTGATCAAGACATTTGAAGTAACACGTATTTGAAGAGGTCTTGTTGGGAACACCCTCTCTTCCTGTATTTACAGAAACTTACAAAGGGCCATTCAGAGAAAAAATGGCAAATGCAGTACCTGGATGCTTCACACAGTGGTGATTAAACCATGAGGTGTGTTGCCACTATATGTTCTGGAGGCCATAAATGGAAGTAAAAAGTCCCAGTAGCTTTATGGAGTAAGCTAGCTTCCAAATTCCCAGGAATTGAAATGTTTCTTGAGCTGCCTTGTACAACTCCTTCCCAAGGGCTCTGGGGACACCAACAACCCTGATTGTCCTTGCCCAGCATTTCTTGGGGCTTCTTCCACCCTGTCCAAGTCTCAGGCCCTCAGGCCCCCAGAGCCATCAGCCTCTGTCGCAATGATGCTGCAGTAGGGGTGCTCTCCAGCTCCCCACAGCTCTGCCCTGCCTGGCCATGGCTGCTCCAGAGAGGTACCTGATGCCGTGGGGTGGGGTTGCCCCTGGTGCCTCCCAGATGCTCTACTTCTCAGCTGGGCTGTAGGGATGTTCCTGTGGAGCCCCCAGCCTTTCTAGGGCTCTGGCATTTCTTACAAAGTTTTGTAAGGCTGCAACCTACTCTATATAAAGTATATACCATCACATGTCATAGTCAGTAACATTTCTAAAGTGGGTGATTCTCTCCCAATATGCTGCTTTTATCAAGAGAGTTAATGCCTGCCAGGATATGGAACTTATTGCAGGGACTGCAATTGCGATACTCGGACTAGTAAGTCATTTTACCAATGCTCTTCCTCTTAAAAGTGATCATTGTTAGAAATCATTGATCTTTTCCTTGTCCTCTCAGTACGACAATATCACAGCTCCAAAATGGAAAGCCTTGCTGTGTGAGCAGAGATACACAGATCAATATCTCTTCTTGTGGCAGCAAGTGAAAACGAGTGGTGCAAAGGTAGACTTCCACAGTCTCGTTAGCAGGAACAGCCTGGATGTAAGAATCAAATGTCATAGCAGTTGAAATGGAAGAAGTGAATATAGACATTTATCGTGGAATTTAAGCATCATTATTTGGAGGATGGTTGCAACATTTTGTTGTAAAACTTCTGGAATTTCTAGGGAGAAGGAGGGGAATGAAGCTAGAAATATCTGTCAAAACAGCTGTATCTCACAGTGTTCAGGCACATTCATTTCAGAAAGGCAGGTAGTAACCAGTAGCAGGACCCAAGGGAATGGCCTGAGGTTGTGTTAGGGAAGGTTTAGGTTGGATATCAGGAAAAGGGTTTTCACAAAGAGTGTGTTTGGGCACTGAACAGGCTCCCCAGGGCAGTGGTCACAGCACCAGCCCGACAGAGCTCAAGAAGCTTTGGGACAATGCTCTCAGGCATAGGGTGTGACTCCTGGGGATGGTGCTGTGCAGGCCACGAGTTCGACTTGGTGATGCTTGTGGGCCCCGTCCAAGTCAGCTTCTTTTGTGATTTGGTGATTCTGTAGTCAGTCAGAAGAGGCCAAGGGTTCCATGCTTTAGTTAATGCACACTCCTGTGCTTACTGAAACTGCAGGCTACAATATCTTCTGGATTTACCAGCAGATATATTGAAGCTCAACAACCGAACTCTCCACCAAAATCCATGAACTAAAGTTTAGTCTTGGTACAGCCCAGGTAAATGTGGTTCTGAATTTTCCCTTAATGAGATATTTGGGCAAAACATGTTGCAATCATTGTGAGGATTTTCTTACACCATGCCGAACAGATGCACCATGCATGGACAGATTAAACATTTTTTTAGAAAAAAGGAAGTAACTTTTGAGACCAGAGGGCTATTAAAATATTGGTGTCCTGACTTCCATCACTTCATTGTGTTGGGTTGTGGGAGGAGAGTTTTTTCACTAGTAAAAGATTCTTCTTGTGCTTCTTGGTGTCAATGCCTAGGTCAAATTCACAGCCTAGCTGCATCTCATGCTTAGGAGGGGATGGCTGGGCTGCCTTTCTTGCAAGCTGCTTCATGGTGGTGGCAAACGTGGGATCCGACTGTGCATCAAGTCTGAGGAATCCCATAGGAAGCCTCCATACAGAGGATTTAACTTGTGATTAAAAGCAAGACAAGGCTGCATCCGTATTAACCTTCTCTCTGCAAAACCCAAGAAGGTCTCCCAATTCTCTCCTCCCCAAACCTCCACCACTTTCCCTTTTTCTTTGATTTCTCAGCTAAAAATAGGGTGACAGAGGGACTGTGGGGTAAGCAGCTGGAGTAGAGCGGAGCCAGTTGCCATAGAAACCAATGAGCCACTTAGCAGCACTTGCCTTCCTTCTTTGCCTGTGGATTTATTTTTCCCTCTTGTTCATGGAGGGCCAGTGTGGGGTGGTAGAAGTCCCACACCAGCTGAGACACACTCCCTGCCCATGTGGCCACTTGGGATGCCAGTGTTCCCTCAGGATCTGACTCCCAAGTGAGGAAGGGGAGAGGGAGGATGAACTTCAGATGGAAGAAGGGTCTGAGCTTCAAGGCTTGTACATACACTTGTTTTTTCCTCCTCACCCTGGCATCTTCTTTTCCTCTCATACTAGATAGCCCTTGATTGATGCCCCAAATATTCAAAAAGGACTCTCCAGGCCACTTGTGCCCTGCCCTATCTCTAAAGATGGCAAGTAGCAGCAGTTGGGTTTTATGCATATAACCATGTGCTGTATTACACCCCAGGCTTGAGTAGCAAAGACAGAAATTTCGAGGTGAACATATGGGTTAGAAGAAGAGAATATTCCTTTCTTCCCTGGTCTTCCTTCCATCATGAAAAATTAACATTTGGGTGATTATTTAAAATAGATGCCCAACCTACTTTTGGTTCACATGGGGCTAAAGTTGCTTTAATTTCACTGCATATACATTTCTCAGTGGGGAAAACCTATTTCCTTGAAAGATCAGAAGCTCTAAATGGAATACCTGAACCATATTAAGCTATAATTTGGCTACACCTGCTCTGGGTTTGGAGTGCTTGATATTCAGTGTTTTTTTTCTTTCTTTTTCTTTTTTTTTCCCTGAGACTGAAGAGGCATACATTGTTAGGTAGCACATACTTCACTAAGTTTAAAAATAAACTTAGGAAATATTATCACTAGCAGAAAAGTACTAGATTGGCAGCTTTTGGAGAATGAAATCTTCTTTTCAGCCCTGAAGTGACAGAGCCAGTTTTGGTAAGACCTTCCCACACTGCTCCTCAGCCGTATGCTCAGAATGTTGCTTCCTCACAACTCGAGTCATGTGAAAGAGCCCCAGCTGCTCACACCTGGATGCAAACCCCAGGTGTCTGCTGGCAGGTGCTGTTTTCTTTCTCACGCTGTACTGTGTGGAAGTGGTAATGGGAAAGACAGTCATGCATTAATGGGTGCTGCAGCACAGTAAAGCTGTAAGGAATTTGCCAGCAGAACCATGCCTGATAAAGCTTGCTGACGTAGTGCTGCTCCTTCAGGTTGCATATCACCAGCATTTCTGAAACTTGGGAGAAAAAGTCTATTATCTAAAAATCATGGTAGATAAAATTGAAAGCAGTTCCTAGAAATTTGGGCTGGATAGTTTTCTTCTGGGTAGTCTGAAATAGGGGGCTTATGTTTGATTTCTCCTCTGAACTTGAATGGAGGACTGAAAGATAATAAATGGCATCACATAGCAGTATGTACAGGGAAGTGTAAATGTTAAATAATGAATCTTTATGATATACCTGCAAAGTCAAATGTATTATTTAACTTCAGCTCATCACAGGCAGCCAGGCAAGATATGTGATGGAGTTAGAACTGGGTCAAAGGCATATCTGGGAAGACCTGAACATCTCCTTCACTGAGAAGTGGCCTGGATATCCCAAGGATGCCATTCTGCAGCTGCTTAGAAGAGGTCAGCTTTGACTCTTGATGCTGACTCTTAGTATTATTACTTGTCTGTACCACATCACTGACACCAGCAGGACC